ATCACCCCCATCACCACCACCATCACACCACCACCACCATCACCCCCACCATCACCACATCACCACCACCATCACCCCCATCACCACCACCCCCACCATCACCACCACTATCACCACCACCATCACCACATCACCACCATCACCACATCACCACCACCATCACCACATCACCACCACCATCACCACCGCCATCACCACATCACCACCACCACCATCACCACATCACCACCACCATCACCACATCACCACCACCATCACCACCGCCATCACCACATCACCACCACCATCACCACATCACCACCACCATCACCACATCACCACCACCATCACCACCGCCATCACATCACCACCATCACCACATCACCACCACCATCACCACCGCCATCACCACATCACCACCACCACCATCACCACATCACCACCACCATCACCACATCACCACCACCATCACCACCGCCATCACCACATCACCACCACCATCACCACATCCACCACCATCACCACATCACCACCACCATCACCACATCACCACCACCATCACCACCGCCATCACATCACCACCATCACCACATCACCACCACCATCACCACATCACCACCACCATCACCACCGCCATCACCACATCACCACCACCATCACCACATCACCACCACCATCACCACCACCACCACCCCCACCATCACCACATCACCACCACCATCACCACCGCCATCACCACTATCACCACCATCACCACCACCATCACCCCCCCCCCCACCATCGCCATCACCACATCACCATCACCACCACCACCATCACATGGCCCCGCGTGTATCAGCATCGCAATGAATGAATGGGTGGGTTGGGACTCTTCAATGGATCAACTGCTCAACGTTAACTTAACAGGGGCTCTCACCCGAAACGTCGTGCGTTGTCATATCTTTCATTTCACTGGGTTTGTGCCGTTGTTGTTCTTGTGTCTAACTGATGATGGGCATTGCTCCAAGCCGCTCTGCTGATGACACACTGAATGCCGAAACCGCTACGTGAGATGTTGAAGTATCAATCGATTCAACAAAGCCAGACCGTGCCAGCCAAATCAAATCTCGACGTTTCGGAAGCAACACAAGCATCCGTCATCAGGTGGTGACTGCTCCAGAAAAATGACTGTAGCGTGTGAAGAGATATTTAGAGACACGTGGTTATATTGGGTACTGGGGGGGGAGGGCAGCTTCTGAAACGTCGTGATTTAATTTAGTTTAATTTTATTTAGTTTTCACCTACTTGACTTTACCAAAAAACCCAAAGCGTATGGATATTTGCAATCACGAAAACTTCAAAGCTAGAACGTGCCAGCCAGTTTAAGAGGGGAACGCCGCGTCCCCGAGAGAGAGAGGGAGAGAGGGGTACGGCCACAGTGGAGACGGAGCGATGATCGGTGAATCCCGCTCGCAGTTGTGGAGTCGAGGAGAGAGAGGCACGGACGACGCCCGGTGCATCGTTACATCGTCGTCGTCGTGATCGTGGCTTGGCTTATTCATCCAGCAGTGGATTTACCGCGGCTGCTGATGCTGCTGCTGATGCTGCTGCTGAGACTGCTGTTGACGATGATGCTTCTGCAGCTGATGATGCTTTTGCTCATGATGATGATGATTCTGCGGCTGATGATGATGCTTCTGCGGCTGATGATGATGCTTCTGAGACTGCTGTTGACGATGTTGCTTCTGCGGCTGATGATGATTCTGCTCATGATGATGATGCTTCTGCGGCTAATGATGATGCTTCTGAGACTGCTGTTGACGATGATGCTTCTGCAGCTGATGAT